ACAATGAAAATATAATCTCTCAACTATTTTCTTAAATGACGTGTCTCAGTCTTGCTTCTTCATGTCAGATAAATACTTGATTATGACAATTGATGGTCATGTTATATCTCCAAGCTTTTATTGGTCACATGTCCATTAACTCTGAATTGCAAAATGACCATGCTTCATGCCTTTAAACCATGTAGCGAAAACTGGAACTAAAATTTCATTACTAGTGTATTAGTCAAGGTTATTCTCCAAAGCATGAAGCATGAGAGGCAACGCATGGTCACTGTTAATCTCCAAATCATGCCTTTAAACTTTTTAGTGAAAACTGGAACTAAAAGTTCCTTAGTAGTGAATGAGTCAATGTTAATCTGCTAATAATTTTTTTTTTATACACGCATACATTTTCATCTCGGCCTGCTTCAGATTCTTGAGAGGCAACCCATGGCACTATGCAGGCTCCTTAGACATCAGAATTGAATTCCATTGAACGTCTGTTGATTGGACCTCCTTGTATTCGATCTTATAAAATCGTGTGATCTTAATTATGTTCAACTAAAATGTCCTAATCACTTCATACGAGTGGGAGGAGTAATTAACTTTAACGACTTGGTTCAGGATTAACCGTTAAATTGAGGGATTAACCTAATTGCAATTTTCATTGCTTAAAACTAATCATTCAAATAAATTGAGAGTCATTAATAAATATAATTTGAATGAACTTAAAATAAGATAATAATGAGCTTACCTTTCTTTATGTTTTGCTACGTAATCGATATACATATTATCTTCTATCAGTCATTTTAAAGCCTTTTCAAATCTAAAATTTGTTAGTTTAAAATTATTATTTGCTAGTCAATGAACACTCTATTTCTAAACCTTAGTAATATAATGAAAAAATGAAACAATATGCATGCTAGTCAAATATAATGATTTAATATAAAAATAAGTTGCATTTTACATACATAGCGCACAATTCTTATGTATTTACTTATTTCACACCTAAACTTTCATATTTATACACATATCACTCAAATGTTTACTATCATATCAAAATATCACTATTATCATCTTTAAAAGTCAAATACATGTTTTCATACATACGTTTAAGGAACCAAAATGCTAGGTATATAAATATGAAAGTTTAGGCATAAGATATGTAAATATGTAAGAATTAGGGTCATTTATATACATAGCACACAATTCTTATGTATTTGATAATTGATAATTTATCAATCAATTATGGCCATTCGAGATTGTTTACAACATTATATTGTACATTATACTATCTTACTTTTATCTATAACATTTATGTTCATCACAGAAGCAACTTCTAAATTATTCTAATTAAAGTGCATCAATATCATTATCCATTTTGAATTCACTTTCACAGTTATCTTAACATCCCGACTAATATTATGAGGAGGTGAACTCTAGAGTGATGTGAACATGCAAACATACTGTATAAGTTCAATTTATTCATAATTTCATATCTAGTATTTTTTTCACAATAAATGGCACACAACATGACTATTAAACATGAATTTATAATATTGATTTTAGTATAATAAGTTCAATCAATGGAACAAAACAATCACGATTAAGCTTGCAGTATCAATCAATCTGATCATGTATCAATTTGATACAATTAGTTTAGAGGAATCAAATGTATTGCTATAATATAGAAGTGTGAATACCCTCCTAGATGATCAATTTTTTTCTTTTTAGGCCCTACTCTTTCAATAAATCATCTATAATAACGTATAAGATAATATAATTTTTTTATTCTTCTTATTAAAAATTAATTGGCCTTTTGTTCAAAGATGTTTATTTTTGTATTATTCTAAATCATCAATCTATTAATTAACATGGTATTCTTATTGACTTATTTAGATTTAATATTATACTATCAGACTTTTTACAATTCTAATTATTATATATTGTACCTTAACCTAATATATATATATATATTGAAAGCCCAAAGGCTAATATATTAAATAAAAGGTAAGGTACAGATAGATTTTGTGGAAGGTCCCAAACATGACACCCAACCCACACAAAAAAGGAGAAAATACAACAAAAAATATAAGAGATCTAAATAAAAAACCAAAAGGTGCCAAAAATAAGAGTATCAAGTAGCTAGAGAGCGGCCCGATTTTGCCTTGTCTTTGCCTCTAGTTCTAGGGAAGGAGCCAACTAATAAATTGGTCAGATGAGTGTCATTGTCAGTAGTAACCAATGTATCATCTAATAGATTCCCTAGCTCGAGTCGTCCTTCGTTCTTCCTCCTCGTGTAGACAAATCATTTCTCATCCGAAGATTGACTCACCTGATCAGCGGAATTGTTTGAAGTGTGCATGATATGTGTGTGTTGCTGAGCATTAGAAGCAACTATTTGTTGTACCAGCTGATCGTTTATCGGATCGAAGGACCACTCTCTTTTGGATCTGTACATGTAGTAAGGTGTTCATCATGTGGAACTGTGATGTTGGAAAGAGGATCATATTGGACCTTCTCAACAAGGATGATAGGTGACTGATCTTTAGTGATATTTGACTTTAGATGAAGATGCAAGCGATAGAAAATAGTAAAACTATGACCAAACATACTACAATGAGAGCAATAAGGAGGATGTGGTTCTATTTCAATATTTTGCCAATACCCGTTGTGAATAGTGTCAATCCATATCTCATCCGGAGCTGGTTGAGTGATATCTCTCTCAACTAAAACACAATCCACAGACTGTCTGGTGACAACAAGCGTAGGACTATTCACCTTGAGAGGCTTATCGTAAGCAGTTGCTAAAGAGTAGAGAATTTTCATGTTGAACAGATGTAATTTTAACCCCGCAAGCGTAGGATTATTCACCTTGAGAGGCTTATCGTAAGCAGTTGCTAAAGAGTAGAGAATTTCCATGTTGAACAGACGTAATTTTAACCCCGGAAACTTTATCCAAACTGGAATGATAGGGGACTCTGCTTTTGGATCAAAACCGACAGCCCACTTCATAATTTTCATAAAACGGTTGCCGATCTTAATAACTTTTCGAGTGAAATGCAAGTGTAATCAACATTGTGAGATAGCTGAATAAGTATATTTCGACCGTTTATTAGATCAGTGTTCCAACTGCCCAATAATTTCATAGCATCAATTTCTTTCCTAATGATCTCTAGTTTTGGGTGACCATAAAGGAATTTCCCCACTAGAGCAAAACACCAAGAGGACGCAAGAGTACCAGTTTCAACTTCGGTGAGAATAAGTGCAGACTTCCCATTTTTTTCCATGTTTTTTAATAAAAGAGTGATCACTTCCACCTTTAAGAGTCTCGTGGTACGACTGTAGAACGTTGCAGGACTTACCGATAGGAAAAGCAGGCTTTGAACCTGGAGGAGGGTTACGAGCAGGAATCAGCAAGTCGCTCGCAAGAGAATTTGCATAGAAACAGAGCGTCGAGACCATCTCTCTCACAAGATGGTGGTCACAGTCATAAAAGAAACGATCTGACGTGCTGCAAGGAAGCAAGGGATTGTTGGACAGCGTCGAACAGAGATGACGCAAGCTAAGGGTGCTGCGAGCGACAGAGGTTGCGAGGTAGAGGAGCTGTCGGGCGCACACACACACACAGACAGAGATATATATATATATATATATATATATATATGAATATAATACCAAGGAGCTATATATATATTAAATTATTACTAATTTAAAATTGAATTTAATATTTGATATCTTGTCGTACTTTATTCATTTTAAGTTATTATCATATTTAATATTTTTTTACAATTATTTTTTCAACTTTAATATCTGAAGATTGATTTTCAAATAAATTTAATCATAATAATTATTATTGTTTTTATTCACTTATACTTGTTAATTTATTCATTTACTTTATATTTTTGTTTAAATAACTACCTGTAAGCTTTCAATTCAGGTAATAAATCTACTTGATTTCAAATTCGCTCATAATTTAATATTAAACTTAATTTATACATATATCATGATAAATTCCCATTGTTGTTTTCTTTTGGTTTCATCTAATAATTACGATAAAATTTCTAATAGTATGACTCGCTTAATATCAATTTAACTTTTCAATTTGTTTTCTCAAAATTTATAATTTTTACATATCAATCATTCGGCGGTTCAATCTCATATATATATATATATAGTGTTTCATGAACTATTTGGGTTTCTGCCTATAGAAAGTATTGACTTCATATTTAAGTAAATCCCAATATGATGTCAGGTGTACTCTTGTTACAATTAATATAATTTACTATAAGAAAAAGCAATTTCCCATCACATTGAAGATGCTCGAAGGAAGGGGTTGGCATTTTTTAAGCGATTTACAATGTTTACTCTCTTTTTTGGGCACATTATGCATGGTAAGCATTAGTTGTTTAGGATTTGGCTAATGGGACTAGGTGCGTGCCAAAATTTGTTAGCGTGTGTACACGCAGACACACACAAAATAACTGAATAAATAAAATAACTTTATCTTTTGCTCACTTGAATTGGTTTTGTTTGATGGCTGCTCATGCTGCATAATTTTTTTTATTATTATTAGCACTTACTCTGATTCTGGCATGCAGCTGTATGATATATCTAATAGATCATGTATAATCCCATATTTTTAAGTTTTGCAATGTGACATTTCCTTCACCATACCTGTTTCTCTCTCCTCCTTTCTCTCGATCTCTCGTTTGTTTGTTCTTCCTTTCTCTTTTCTATCCCTCTTGCTTTGCTATCTGTTGTACTTCTGTGTTATACACTGATGTCAAAAAAAGGATTTCATTCTCAACTTGTTGCTATCAAATACCTTTAATTGCGTCAATGGAGGCTAAAATAAATTCTAATTTTGATTTTGTAGTTGGCACTTATGAGAAATATTAGACAGCTTATTTGAGCGTCATCTGGGCTTCAGTTAGTGAAATTTTGCTTTATACATTTAAGGCTTGAGATGACATGATTAAGTGAATTTTCTATGGATACTTACTCCGGAATTCTTGCAGGTAAGCCAGGACATGGGAATTGAAACACCCATACCAGTCAGTTTGAAGCTAAGGGACTTGAATAATGTATTTAGTAGGATTGTTACTGCTGCACAGCACCCACATCTTAGCATTCCTGAGACTGAAGTTGGAAGGAATCGAAAACAATATCGACGGCTCGTCAATCGATCTCTCATGTTTGTTTCAGGTATAATCACTTATCAATAGCATTTTACAGCCATCATTTTTTATATAAATGTGATCAAGTAAGGGAAAACGGAGGATGGAGAAATAAAGTAAAAAATATCTAGAATCACGAGGGAGGCTACATTTCAAAATGTTACTTTTTCCATATTTTAGGATTTTTTTTTTTTTTTGGTATTAGGAAAAGAGAGAATGAGAAATAAAAAATAAATTGTTGATTTGATTCAAACACCTTTAATCCATCTATTGTATAACCTAATATTATTTACATATTATGCCTTCCGATAGTCATATTTTATTTTGATTAATATAGTTTTTTTCTCATAAAATTTATGCTCTACTGCAATGTTTAAGCATATTTTAAAATTAATTTTGAATATTATGATGATCTCATGAAATGCAAAATTTTATATATGTATAATTATGCTGCTAATCATGCTTAAAATTTAAAATTTAATGAGAGTCACTCAAAATAATTGACTTGATCTCTAAATAGCTGTGCCCAGCTCAGAGATGTCTTACTCAATTTGCTTGTGTGTGTGAGAGGGAGAGAATTAAGAGGAAGTGGAGGGATGGCGAGAAAGCTTATAATTTGCTATTTTTCTCTTTGATATCACCCCTATTTAGAGGAATGTTCAAGAGGATATTAAGTTAATAGATTGTGAGACAGCTTAGTTTTAAGCCAGAGATTTCCCATAGTGTGTTGATTTCAAATTCTGAAAGTGAGAAAATATTTCATCTATTGATTTCCAATTTTGAGATCCTCTAATATGATATTTCCACTCTTTTGAAAATTTGAAATCTATAAATTAAAGATAGCATGAGTTGAGAACAGGGCAAAAAAGTGGTCAGTCGAAGAGTGGTGAAATTAGAAGTATTTTTTAAAATTAATTGCATTGAAATTTTAAAAGATCATTATTATTGTTATTGCGAATCATATTTTCTCTTTGTTGACATTTTTGACATAAATAACTAACATTTGTAGTTTATAATGTCATATATTTTATAAAGATATTTCAATTTAAATATTTAATAATTTGCGTTAAAGGAAAAGAGATACAAAGATATATAATAAAAATTTTTTAACACATAAAAATTAGCTTCCTATAGAATTTTTGCTTTATAAGAAAACAACATGAAAGTATATTTAGCATGCTTATTGATATATTTTATTAGCAGCATTGATGTTTTTCTTGTCATCATCTGGGGGCACATGTTCTAATTTTTTGGATGATTCCATCATGAGATAATTAGAGGATGTGAATATATCTTCAAAGTAAAAATGTGACAGACTTGTTTTTTTTATATATTTTATCTATCATTTACTCGATTGTTTTGTGGCGCATGCACACTCTTGTTGGTGACGCATGCACACTCTTGTTGGTTTTATCATTAACTTTTGGGGCTCGAGGTTTAAATATTAAAGTTATTGAAATCATACATGATCTGAGCTTGCTCACACATGGAACTAGTTTTTCTGATTAAATGTGTAAATAAAGTAGGTGCATCCAAAGATTCATCGTGTATGGGGAATTTTTTTCATAAAAAGTGGTGTTGAGTGGGGTGTGGTCTAGGAGTGGAGGGATTTGATTGATGAAATAGCAGACACTTAAGACCACATCTTTTCAAAATTGATTAGCACCAGTGTGAAACATGAATGTCGTGATAATATCAAGAAGGTAGTATTTTTGCATTCAACAACACCATTCTATTGAGAAGTATAAGGGTAAGAAGCTTGATGAATGAAAATATTGGCAAAATAGAAGCTGTGAAATTGTGATTGCGTGAATTTTAAAGCATTTTTGATACAATATTTTGATAAAGCGGGTAAATTGAACTTTATTATTAAGAAAGGAGTTGAAATGCATGGAGGACCACTAAATGTCATTTAATTTGACCCATATAACTTTTGGAAAATTACAAGTGAAGGTTGTTGAATATTGTAAACCCATATGAGTAACAATCGGGCTTAATCCCCAATTCTTTGGGCAAGTTAACCCAAAACGATGATAGCAACACCTAGTGGGAGTATGGAAAGAACTCGTGGTGGTGTTTACCTAGCTTGCATGCATTGCAATCAAATTTGATTACATATGGGGAGTTGGATACAATCTTGATATTTGTTCAGGGGAAGCTGACCCAACCCGATAATGCCAATGAAAATTAGTAATGGTAGAGGAAAATGTTGGAATATTAGTCGTTAGTAGACTCCATTATTTTAACATCACCATTTTTTTTTTCTTAGCTGAGATATTGAAAGATATAATTTATGTAGAGGGATAGAAGGTTTCATGATAATTATGTGATTCGGTGAAATAGTGAATAAATAATATATCCAGAGAAAGTTTTGGGATAAAACATTGGAGATAGAAAGAGAACTTGGTAAGGAGTTGCAATTTTTTTCCCTGAGACACGAGAAGGGGCTTATCTTCCGCAATCACAGAAGAAATGGAAGGTCATGTTGATAGAGAAGTTCACAGTTAAGTTTTATGGAAAGTGACGTCTGGAAAAAAAATTCAGAACATATACTTGAGGAGATAGCTACGTTTGATTCAAAGGAGAAAGTATTATGAGGCGGATGTGGAAATTTGAGATTCATATTTCTCTTAGAAAGCATGATAGAATTTGAAGAGGTGTTAGAAGTGGTTAAAGGACTAGCAGAAGTTGTCCCTTAGGCATGTTTGACAGTATGAGGGCGACTAAAATTGTTTCAACATTATTTTAAAGGATGATCGGCATACCGCAACAAGAATATAGTGGGAATGACCCGTTAACTAACTCGTAATTTTTGAATGGGAAGAGTGCATTGTTAATTTCAAAAGGTTAAATGCCAAAAAAATGAATAGACTTCTCTGACGGTAGGATAAATCTTCTTGTAAAGATTGTAAGGTAATTTAGGGATAAAGTTTATCCTAAGAACATAAAGTTTTGATGATGGGGTTTATCTTAGAAGTATTTTTAAAGTAATTTAAAATTAGCTTTTCTAAGAAAAGTGGTTGAAGTTTGCAAGCTGTGAAGTTAATTTTTAAAGATAGATTGTTTAAGGGTGCATATTAGAAATCTATAAGATGACTAGTTGCATTAGAAGTTTGTCATATATTTTTTGAATTAGTTTTTTAATACAATGTGTGTGTGTGTGTGTGTGTGCATGTATGATTTGAATTTTAAAGTATTTGAGATAAATTGAAACATATTAAAAGTATTTCTCTAAGGAATTCTGACTCTATTTCTTAGCTCTCACCCTATACACTAGATTCTTTTTTTTTAGGACTAAAAATTTGAGTAAAGTATCAGAATAATACTATTTAATTAAGGCCTTTTTAATGCTAGAGTCTATTAAAGTGTCAAATTAATTCCTACACTTTTTTAATATTGGCTGAAATAGTCCCTATGGAGTATTATTTTAGCCCCAATTAAAAGAAACCGAAAACTAAATTGACATTTTCTTAGATTGGATAAAAAATAACACCCCACACCGCACCGCACCCAACACCCCCCCCAACTGCAAAAAACATTTCTCATTAAAATTTAGATTTACTTACAATTAATAGAAGAAAATTACCTAAATTTATTTTATAATAAAAAAAATAATTTTTTAGTATTCTAGATGTATTTATTTTATATGTTATTTGAAATAAATATCTATTTTAAATTCTTGTAACCAAATAATCTTGAAGCAGTTGTTACTGACAAGAGATTTGTGATCTAAATATCTTGATTAACTTGTATTGGAAGTGAAAATAAATGTGTCTTAGTCAAAGTTTGAGGATATAAATGAAACATGGGATTATTCTTAAATAAGAGATTTAAGGAAAAAAATTTTAGTAAATAGCATAATATAAAAAAGGTTGAAGTTTTTTTTATTGTGGGTTGAATAAAGTGAACTTGAGTTGTCTATAAACAACTCACATGAAGTTTGAAATTGAAGTCTATAAACAACTCACATGAAGTTTGAACTTGAAGTCTAGAGGAGATAGCTCTTGGCAAAATGTTGAGGTTGAATAAAGTGAACTTGAGTTGTCTATAAACAACTCACATGAAGTTTGAACTTGAAGTCTATAAACAACTCACATGAAGTGTGAACTTGAAGTCTAGAGGAGATAGCTCTTGGCATTGAACTTGAAGTCTAGAGGAGATAGCTCTTGGCATATGGAGTTATTTGGAGCGTTTCAATTATTTTTCAACGGAATCTAAAAAATTAAGATCATGTTGAATGATTTGTGAAGAAGTATTTTCATTCTTATAGAACAAAGAAGATATTTACAATTGTTTATACCGCATAATGGATTGAAATTTACAGTTCATGTTATGAATTTTAGGGCGTAACGGAGCATATATGCTGTTAAAAATCGTGTTTGCAATGTATAATCAATTTGGATTTGTGTCAAAAAGATTCAATATGGGTAAGAACTTTTTGTATACCGCATAATGGATTGAAATTTACTGTTCATGTTATGAATTTTAGGGCGTAATGGAGCATATATGCTGTTAAAAATCTTGTTTGCAATGTATAATCAATTTGGATTTGTGTCAAAAAGATTCAATATGGGTAAGAACTTTTTGATAAGAAATCTAAAGTATATTGTAGAAAATGATATCATACGATTTGGCTTAATCTCTATAAGTTGTTTGATTTTCTATCACGATAAATTTTTTGGTTTGCATTGAAAAATTATTATTATCTAGTGGACGTTAAAGTTAATAATGATATATATATAATAAAATTTTGACCAACATTAGAATAGTTACATAATGATTAAAGAGTTTTAATTTGTCATGAGATCATTAACTTAATATTTTTTTTATTCATGATGAATATAAGTTTTAAAAATATTGAAAACTAACGCTGTTTTAAACATTAAAATTGTGGCAGCAGCCATCAATCATCCATTAGCCAAAAACCCAAGCAAGCAACTGGGGATTTTGTTGCAAGGCGCCAATGAATACTATTTTAATGATTCATATTCTGTTAAATACAATAAAACATATAATTCTCAATGGTTTTTTGCATTCATATATTGATCTTTGTTTCTCTTCCCTCTTACAATGCAGTTGGTGCTGCCGCTGCAGTCGTAGGACTTGCTGCCTACAGGATTTATGCTTCAAGGAAAAATTCTTCAAACTAAATGAGATTATGCACCGTTATGCCTTTCATGCCGGTTGCGATAATTCAGTTTTCTTTCTTTATTTCTTTATTTCTTTCGGTTCTCTCTTTTGTACAGAGACACCCATCCATTGATTTTCAGTTGAAACCTACATGTAGTATCATAGTTTTCTTTGCCTTGTGCTGTTTCGGATTCTAATGTGATCTTTCTTGGAGGTCTAGGTTCAGTTAATTTGTTAAATTTGTGTTACCTAGCCACAGCAGCACAAAGTTAGTCAGATTAGTTTCTTCTGATGTGGAAATCAAATCCAAAATTCCAATTCAAAGAAGTTTCAGATCTTCCAGATTTTGGATTGAAGTGCAGTTTGCTGAGAGAACGAGGGAGGAAGAGAGATGAGCAGAAAAGAGTACTTTTAGAAGGCCTCTCCTCATTTAAAAATTTGTATTATTGTAAACACTTCTAACTTTATTTTATCTACTTTGTTTGCCCTTGAAATCAGCCATTGTGCAGTGTTACTATGCTAATGGCTTTGATCATAACATTGTCGAAACTAGCTTTGTTTGATGTCTTGTATTGTAAATTGCTGTTAAATGCTAGCAGCTCTTGAAATGAGAAGTTAGTAACGCGTTACAAATGGGCTTCAAAATTTATAGAATGTTAACGATTTATACAAGCTCTGTTTGACTTTAGTTTGAGAACTTCAACTTTTTTTAGCATCTTTTGAGAGGATGAAAGTTTTCATTAACCATCTGAACATCTCACAATAGAGAGGTGGTGCTTTGCCTGTTTCTGTGTTCCTGTTATATTTTTTATGGTGGAAGATAAAAGAAATGAATAAAATAGAAATTTATCCGAGTTAAAAGTATATATAATAATTACAGTCACAATTAAATTGTTCTTTTAGCAAAAATAATTACATTTTTTTTAATTATATATCATCATTAGGATTGCAAGCTGTTGTCAATGATGATTGAAGATATTTCTTCACTGTATATCTACAAATTGGAAAACTTCCTTGGGAGATTGAAAGGTTGGTGAGTTACACTCGATTGTGGAATGTTTGACTATCATGACTCTAAAGCTATACAAGTCATGCAATAAAACATTGCCAATGCTTAATTTATGATACCATTTTACATCATCCACTGAATATATTGTATCTAATGATAGTTTCATGTTGACTGAGAGTTGGGGCATGTATGTAGTTGGTCCTTTTAACCCCCATCACAAGAGATGGAACTAATTCATTTTAACTACCAGAGACTAGTTTTTTAATTGGATTGAAGTAGTTCCATTGAAAGAACTAAAAATAGATTGTGTTGTAGTTCCTTACGTACCATGTCATGCATAGATTTATTGTGCTTGGTCAAATTACAGCCTATGATGACACTGCCTTGCCTTTCGATGTATTGAAATCAGTCGATATATGCTATGAATTTATATTCATTAGATGTATGCTTTTTCAGGACCAATAGCCTGATAAAAGTCTTTAATAATAATTTACTACGATTAATAAGAAAATCTTGGAAATAAATAAGATTAGCACAAAAAATTGCCAAAGGCCATACAAACTATGGTACCACATTATTCACACCATATTCTTTTGCTTTTGGGTTTTAGTCTTGTCTTTGCTTTAGAGATGTAGTTATTTCTGCATTATTTGTTGCCTAAGGCTCTGTTTGACGTGGCTTTGCGGCGACATACTGTTGTTTTGGCCTTTTTGGTAAATTGTGTTGACAGTTTTTATTAAACCTGTCGTTGAAACCAGCGTTTTCTCACTGCCCCTGGCTTGGTGCGGTGAGAGCTTTCTAACTGTGGTCTAATTTTTTCAAAAAAATGTTTGTAATAGTCATCATAATTTTTTGCAATATTAGATTATTCTTCAGCGGCTTCTTAATAAACTGTAGCTATGACAAACAGAGCTTAAGTTACAAGTTAACCTAGGATGAAAACATTTAATTGAGAATAAAAGAGTGATAGCCTTAATGAAGAAAGGATTTAAACTTTACAACATTCTACTCTATTATGGGGTTGGCTTCGCTCATAGAAAGTTGTTTCAGACTACATCATTAAGGAATTAGATCTTGTCTAGGTTATGTCAAAGCCTATTATAAAATTTGAGATCACTTGAAAGGGCCCTTTTACATTTGAGCAATAATGTCATGATAGTTCTTACCATCTAGTTGGCTCTAAAGGTGAAAAATCTTCTACCACCAATTAATTAATGATATCTTAAAAAAATATTATTCTCAAGCCAATTTTAAGATTTAATAGTCAAATTCATATTTACATTATTTGTAATTTTATAAAATTCAAGCAATAACAAAATAGAACATATATGATTTTCTTTAGTTTCTTGGTGGCTATTTCCCTAAGAATTTTTAGTTCAATGAATCAATCATCACTATTAATAAATTCCTTCTTTGTCAATAAGTTTTGAAATTTCTAGGCACCCTAGCAAATTTGATGGTCGAATTGACTGTCTTCGGCTCCTTAGAAAATATAACTTTTGGATTCAAGGATTACCCCTTTTGAATGCTTATTATTTTTGCGTTCTAGTAAATTCATTTGTCTAAATAATTTTGTTAGGTTCCTTTGTGCAAGGAATACACTTAGATACAATGAATTATTATTTATATTGTGGTTTAATCATCTTAAGCATATGATGTGGCCTTTAAAATTATTTATCTTTGAAGTGTTTATTAAATCCTTTGTTCAGTTTTCTTAAATTGGTTTGAGCATGGTCTTTGTTAGCAAAAGACATAATATTTACATCTCTTAAATTAAAATTGATTGATTTGTTTAGCTCCAAAATAAGCTTATTTTGGTTTATTAAAGCTTAAATTCTCTTGTTAAACACATAAATCATTCATAATCTTAAATATGCATATTGAAAGGATGGTAAACTTGGGATTTAGGAAGGGGTAATTAAATGGCTACATAGCCTTCTTGATATTAAGTTTATGGGAAAACCTAATCTTTTATTTCTATTTCATACACAGCTGAAGAAGTCAAGAATAATTAAAATTGATTTTAAAAGTTATAAGAAAATTCTTGATTAAATGACCTTCTTAACCAATGAAATTTTGGTTATTTATATTTAGTCATATAACTTTCAAGAAAAATCTTGAGTTCTTTATTATTTTTTTTTTATTGAATGGCTTTCCTACTTAATCTCAATGAAGGGGTAAAAATTTTCAAGGCACAACTAAGAAAATTTAGGCTAACTAAAATTAGCTTTGATCATTTTAGGATTAATTGAAATAATTTTACAAGGTTATGGTTGTATGTGTCTTTATTGAGCCCAACCTCAATGAAAAGACATAACATTTCATTTCAAGTACAGTTGAAGCCTGAATTAACTAAAATTAGCCTTTACAATTTTAAACAAAGAGATTAAAAATTAGAAAAGAATATATTTTATCAAGGCCTTAAGAAAATTTTCATGAATAGGCATTTTGAGCAAAAGCTCGACGCTATAATGCCTTGTAACCTAATAAACAGATCTTAGTTAGCCCTCACTGAGAAAAAGTTTATAAAAATTCAAATGTTGATCAAAGCTAATGTGCGTGCCAAAATTTAAGAAGCATTACCAAGCCTTTTTTTTATAATTTGTCGTAAGCCTTAGGACATTAAATACTTGATCTTAGCATAAAATGGTTGTCTAATATTAACTCCGTGTTAGGTTGGATTTTATACGCATCTGATAAGTTTTTCTACCTCTTTGACTAATAAATCATAATCTAGAATACATCAAACATAGAAATCTCTAGGTTAACCTATTCTATTAACTCGGTCAATAGAAAAATCAAAAATAAAAAATAAAATAGCGCTTGTGCTTAGTGAATAGAGGAGAATTTAATGAACTGAAAATAAAAAAAAATGTATGATTTTTTAATTAATTAAATTCTCTAAACCTTATTTAAATCATAAATAATTAAATATTAGTCACTTGAAATAAAATTTTTAGGATTTATTTTTCATGAGCCCATGAATGTTTTCATATTTTTTCAAAGTCAAAATACACCTCTAGCCCTAAAAGCCCTAATTTTAAGTCAAAAAATACCATTAGCCCTAAAAGCCCTAATTTTCTATGATAATTATCTCGGTTTTATTAAAATAATTATAAAAAAATATATGTAAACCAGAAAAAATATGAGATAAAGTTTTGAGGGTTAATCAGAGTCAGAGGCACTTAAGAAAAATAAAAAATGGAATTTTAAATTTAAAAATATATTTCCTAAGTATTTTTCTACTAATAATAATTTTAAAAAACTATAAAAAATATAAATATAATCCAAAATGGCACAGGATTTACTCTCATTAACCTTAAGATGTCCCCATATAAGTTTTAAAGACAGAAAATGTATTTTAAATACCTACATGTATTTTCTTATGATTTTACAAATTATTAACTTAGTTAATTACAAAAATCAAAATAAAAATCAGAAAAATATAAACAAAATTTAATGAGTTCATTAAGGTAAGAGAGATTAAAAAAAGATGAAAGTGATTTTTAAATTAAAAAAATGTATTGTCTACTTATTTTATTACTAAAATCAATTAAAAAATTATAAAAATTGAAATACAGTCCAAAAAATTATTAAAATTATCCTAATTGGTCCTCTGACCTATAGCAAAAATATAAAATTATCTTAAAGGCAAAGGACATATTTTGGGTAATTAAATCAATTACTATTGAAAATTCATAATTATGGGTTTAAATAATTGCAATAAATAAATAAATATAAAAAAAATATAATTAATCTTTGTTACCTTAATTAGTCCATGAGTAAGAGCTCGAAGAAGTTTCACTGTGATTTAATTAAAAATGTAAGAGTTGTGGGGTTTAAACCCTAAAGGGCATAATGGTAATTTTAGGGTTTTACACTCTAACCCTAATTTTAGGTTTGATCAAAGGGAAATAAGATAAAATGTGTGATAATTGGCTCAATGAAGTGATTGAAATACAAACGGTAATTAGGGTAGTAGCACATTCATGACATTTTCTAAAAAAGTGTAAAATGATAAATATTTAAATTGTTATGTATAGGAAGAAATGAAGATGTGGATGAGCCTAGAATATGGGGAATTAGTTAGAAGATTAACAATTCACTATTTGAAACCCCCAATCTATCATTAGATAAAGTTCAATGATTTTAAGATCAAATGCATATTTTTATAAAAATCTTTCAAAATTACAAGTTTACCCCTAAGTCTTAAGAGCTTGATAGTAAATCAGGTTTAACTTGATGTCATTTGAGGAGTACTTGAAAGAGGAAACATAAACCATAATGAAATAATTTAAATCACTACAAGCTCAAATCCAATTGAGAGGTGTGAGTGTAAAAATCTCTAATGACTGTAACTACACCCCAAGGGTGTTCACCTATACAACTCTTAATA